AGATTTTCCCAGTTGTATTGAGAGAACACTTCAATTTACTAAGCATTATTGAAAAGATGTGTGTTGACTAAAATCAATAAAAACATAATATGAAAATGTATAAAAATAGAAAATGGTGTGTTGAAAATAATAAGATGGAAAGTCCTCTTTGATTAAACAGAATGAATGTTAAAACAAAGTAGGGCGGAAGAAAATTAAAGAAAAATGAGTAATAATGAAGGAATTTAGAAGTTTTCTATTCAAAATGTTAAAGTGCAGTTTTCAATTAAAGACTCATTGATTATATCCTGTGGCCTGCCACTTTCTGCAGTTGCCATTGGCCGGGAACAGTGAACCACAGCTTCTGGGAGCTGCGGAAGGCCATGCCTGAAGACGGTCAACAAAATGTTTTGCAGCCCACAATCAGATTACTCTGATGGGCTGCATGCGGCCTGCGGGCTGCAAGTTGCCCACCACTGGTTTACGCAAAAAGAAAAGGAGTACTTGTGGCACCTTAGAGACTAACCAATTTATTTGAGCATAAGCTTTCGTGAGCTACAGCTCACTTCATCGGATGCATACAGCAACCACATACCACACACCAGAACGGGCTTTGTTGCAAGGATAGGTTCCTGGGTTAGTGGTTTTGTTTTTTTTGTGATATGTGGTTGCTGTATGCATCCAATGAAATGAGCTGTAGCTGACGAAAGCTTATGCTCAAATAAATTGGTTAGTCTCTAAGGTGCCACAAGTACTCCTTTTCTTTTTGCGAATACAGACTAACACGGCTGTTACTCTGAAACTGGTTTACATAGTCTGTCTAAACAAACAAGAATCAAGTCTTCTTTATGCCTGCACATCATAACTCTGTAATCACATATCCATAAACTGAATCTTTCCTCACCCCATATCTTCCTGGTATATGAGATAATTATGCTTGTCCTCCAAATCCATCATTTAAGCTCCAGTCCTGCAACTGAATCTACTGGCATGGACCTCTGACTTCATGTAGAATCCAGTTTCAAGACTGGCTTTTGAGTGTAAGCTTTGCAAAAGCAGAAACCCATATTTTTCTGTGAAGCACTGGAGATACCTGAGGTCCTATACAACTATGAATAATGTGTAAGTTTGCTACTACTGATATCTGTGTCAGTTTTCCATAAACATAGTTCATTAAGACAGGTTTCAGAGTAGCAGTTGTGTTAGTCTGTATTCGCAAAAAGAAAAGGAGTACTTGTGGCACCTTAGAGACTAACAAATTATTTGAGCATAAGCTTTCGTGAGCTACAGCTCACTTTATTGGATGCATTTGTAGCTCACGAAAGCTTATGCTCAAATAATTTGTAGTTCATTAAGTTATCATTAGGAGTAAACATTTTAAAACTCTCTTTCTATATTTTAACAAATTGGAAAGCCATCCCTTGTTGCAATTAAAAATAATCTTCCTTTTCTTCTCTTTTTTTTAAAAAAAACCCAACAAACAGACAAACAACTGGATAGCGTTTTCACTAATGAGAAGATTCTGAAACAGAGGCAGGGACAACTGATTTCTGGTTCATCATGCTGTCTTTAACACATATATTGAATGACAAATTCACCATTTACTTAAGCTTGTTCCAAAGCCATACATTGATTTATTGACATTTGTATGGGATTTAACATGCCATGCTCCAAAACACACACTTAAAACAAGAACAATTCTGTAGTTACAAATGTTATAGGGAAAGAAAGAGAACATCAAACTGGGGATGGGAAGGTGTTAAAAAAATCATGTATAATGACCCTATTTTAGTTCATTAGTCACAAAGTTTTCATTTAATAGCAAATACAAATGTATTTTCCTGCAGGTTTGATCCTGGGCACTTCAGCATCTAAACACACATCTCTACCACTTGAGTTAAAAAAAACAATAGTAGACTGTCATCATTTATGTGTATCAGCAACTAGATAGGGGCATAACACATATGTCATCCAGTCCCAATATTCTTCCTCTACTGATTGTTATGTATTATTGATTGAAATCTCACAGCTAAAACCCAACAATTGTCCAAAGAAAAAGGAAAGAACGGTGGAGATGGGGAGGACTTTTCATCTGGGTCATGGGGAAATGAATTAGAAAATGCAACTTTTGTTTGGCAAACAACTGAAAAGAAATGAAATAAAACAACCCCCACACATAACATGACTGCAAACTACAGCATTAAATTTTCAGAACCCAGATGGTGAGAAAAATACTCATTCATGGCCTAAAATACATCTGGTCCATTAAAACACAGGATATGCATTCATAAATCTGAGAGAATATAAGCTTTTGGATGCAGCCTATCACCTGAGATAAGCTTCTCTTGGAATGTCTGCGTCCTCTCTGATTTGTATCACCTGCCTAGCCAGAGAAGTAGTTAAAACATTTGGGTTCAACAGAATTAGTAATACCAGCCCTACATATGGTACAAAACCAGGGAAAGCATAAGGCTGATGGTAAAAGCTTTTCCAAACACTATTTTAAATGAGAGTAGGTCATGTATTTTTCATATTGTTTTTCTTTTCTTCCTTCGGACTGTAATGGAGCAAAGTATGAAGCATATGGAGCTCCTGCTTAAAAACAAAAGGAGAGAGAGAGAGAAAGAGGTAGTGTGTGACTAACACAGAGTGAACAAGACACAGAAGTCTGATAAAATGTATCCTTTGGCAGGAAGGAATGAAAATCCATCGACCTGCATGCAGTTCTATGACTGTATAGTGAAACCTATTTTTAAAACAACAACAAAGTGGCTATTTAAAACAGAAAAAAAAGTTCTTTATTATGACTACAGATAATATATATATATATAACATTCAGACTAACTGCATCTATCCTGACTGTTTTAAGAATGACTGTTTATGTGTGGTTTCTATTGCAAGAGTGGGTGGGTGAGGTTCTGCGGCCTGCAATGTGCAGGAGGTCAGACTAGATCAGTGGTGGGCAACCTGCAGCCTGCGGGCCACATGCGGCCCATCAGGGTAACCTGCTGGCGGGCCACGAGTCAGTTTGTTTACACTGACCATCCGCAGGCATGGCCACCGGCAGCTCCCAGTGGCCACGGTTCATTGCTCCTGGCCAATGGGAGCTGCGGGTGGCCGTGTCTGCAGATGGTCAGTGTAGACAAACTGTCTCGCAGCCCACCAGCGGATTACCCTGACAGGCAGCGTTTGGCCCACAGGCCGCAGGTTACCCACCACTGGACTAGATGATCACGATGGTCCCTTCTGACTTTAAAGTCTATGAGGCTATGAGTCCACAGACCAGTGAACTATGGCTCTGATGCACATAATTTACAAAGCTCAAAGGCCGACCCTTTTTATTCCAGAGCTATGAATGCAGATAGACTATGGCATTACCACTTGCAATACTTACAATCTCCCCTCATGAAAAGATAGAAAACAGAATGAGACGTGACTAACCTATTCATCTAATTATTCATTTATACAAATGGTAAAACTGTAAGGCCAGCAGATGCCAGTTATAAAACAACAGACTTCTGAAGCTTACTGCACGATCCTCTACTACATGAGCTAAAAGCCCCATAGCTCTTAGCCAAGGCTGTAGAAGACTCATCAATCTCTTCAGGATCTAGGTGCCACTCAATGGGGACAGGTTTCAGAGTAACAGCCGTGTTAGTCTGTATTCGCAAAAAGAAAAGGAGTACTTGTGGCACCTTAGAGACTAACCAATTTATTTGAGCATGAGCTTTCGTGAGCTACAGCTCACTTCATCAGATGCATACCGTGGAAACTGCAGCAGACTTTATATATACACAGAGAATATGAGGACAATGGGGACAGAGCACCACACCCAGCAGGCATGGGTTACAAAAGCATGGCTGGTTTCATTTAAGCTTGAACACATAACTACTCTATGTGATTAACAGCCTACTTACAAGTCACTTAATGGAAAACAAAACAACCAGACGTGATGTTAAATAGTAACAGGGAAAAGCCTCAAGTGTTCAGAAGTTGAGATCCGCTTGGATGTTTACACCCAACCACATCTCTGTCTCCCACCCTTTTCCCTAAATACGTATCCTCTCCTTGGATTTGTCCCTTCATCTAAATAGTTCAAAATAAGATTCCCTCATGTTCCCTTTCTGCCACATACAACTTGTTTCTCCATCTCCTTAGTCTTTCTATAAATTGTGCTTAAGCTCCCAAAGTTTTGGACATTTGCATTTCCAAGAGGTCTGAATAATGTACTGATTATGTGGATAGTGTTCTTTGCTAAAGAGAAGATTCTCAAAAGTGAGGCAGTAGCAACTGATTTCTGGTTCACCGTGCTGTCTTTAACAGGTGCACCAAATGACAAATTTACCATTTACTTCAACTTTGTCCAAAGCTCTTAATTGGTTTATTGACACTGCATGCCACAACCAGGAATGTTTTGGGTCTTCCCCGGAGGCACACACACAATTCGCTGTGGTATACAAGGAAATATCCAGAATGCACTGGATTGGAACATAGCAGCAGTGGATCCAGCAGACACAGTAGAGGACTAGTAGGATTTCATTTGACTTTCACAACAATGGAACTTGTGAAGGATTTATAATGAAGAAAAGGGGACAGAGAGGGACTAGGTAACAGAAAGTCCTGGGAGGAGGAAAGAATAATGGTCATGTATGAGTCTGCAGTAGAATGATGTGTGATTCTGTTCATAAACCAGCAAAGTCTCCGGGGAGATCATGGATCAAGAAGGGTCTGGAGTTGCAGGTTAGAGGACAGTGAGCTGTAGAAAGCAGAGGACACAGTGTAATGGCCTAACACTTGAAGGTAAGAGAGGGCTGGGCATCTTATGTGAAGTTTTCCCAAACTAAAAAATAATTTTGTTTTGAATGAACAAGCTCTCCCATTGGGAAAAAACATCACACTAGATTAGTAGTGATTGCCAACAGTGATGTCTGCAAGAAGCTTTTGAAAGATATTAGTTTTTAAAAAATTCTTTATTCCTGATGGTTCCTACAGAATAAACTTGTGGCTTTCAAAGTTCTTACCTGCTTCACTGGTTCTGATCACTCGAGATGGTGCACTTGGATCCCCAGTCCCGATTTTGTTGGTTGCTACAACTCTGAATTCATATTCCACCCATGGGTTCAGTTCTACTGCCACAGCAGATTCCATGTCACCACTTATGTTCTCTGGAACTGTAGAAAGCAAAGACAATGTGTAAATCATTAACTCACCTGAAACTCATGTGTAATATGCCAGTGGTATGTGGAACTGAATTTTACAATATTAAAGATCACTGGAGGTAATGGAAATCAAACTCATCTCTGTGTGTGTGTGTGTGTGTGTATATGTTTATTTAATGCTTCTGAAAGATGGCTGATTAACTATTTGAAGACAGAAATCCTCTCTTTATCCACAGCTACAGCAGGGACAGCCACACTGCAGGCATGTTGTTAAGTGACATCCAAATGCAATTTTTAAATTTGGACCTTTTACTTTTTTATCTTCTTTTATAATCTTATTAATCTTTTATTTTCTTCATCATCCTCTGCAACTGGTGTAGGTGGTTCCTATGCTCTTGAGCCAGGAGTTTTGAACTCAGCCTACTCATATTATGTTAAAAATATTTCTCTCACCTGTTTTTACAGTCTGCCAGCCAAGTGAAAATGGGCTACGTGCTTGTAAGTTGTATGTGGAGATAGGGCTGTGGTTGTCTGCCCCAGGACTCCAGGAAAGCGTCGCCGTGGTTTCTGTAATTTCCTCAACTATCACTATTCCTGGGGGACCAGGAGGACCTAGAAATAAGGTGAAAGAATAAGAAGAACCGCACTGTCATGCCAATTCAGCAGCACTAACACAGGATACACGTTTCCATAACGACATGATGTAGTTCAGTATTCATGAAATACGTAGTTAAGATGCATATCACTGAGGTGGTTGATTTCTATGATTTCTGATGACAAATTATGATTATTTCTACTTTTTTAATACTTCATGAGGGAGAAGCAATTAACATGTCAGAGTGACAGCTGTGGAATTAGAAACAGAAACAGGAATTTTAAAAAAATCATCAATTACTTTATTCTTTAATTTTTTAAAACCGAAGAAAAATAAAAGTAAAATAGCAACCTTTAAGAAGCATCTAAGGTTAAACTAAACAGCCATATGTTCTTTTCCTCCCTTATAATAACCTTGCACCATCTATTTGCAGTATTCCTTGCTCTGCTTCATCAGAACTCAGTTGGATCTATGTGGACAAACCCTTAGGAGCATTAGGGGTCCTATTTAAGTCAATACACAGACCCTATTGCCGGAGGAGGTCTCAGACTGTAAACTCTTCAAGGTAGCGATGATGCCTTAAAAGCCCACAACATATCATGTGCTGTAAAAGTAATAAATGATAATTATATGAAATTAATAAATATAAAGCAAATTTTGGATATTTGTAGAGGCAAACACCACAGTTTGTTGATATGACAAATGAACCATGTTCAAAGTAAAACTAAGATCAATAGGTGTCTTGAAAACCACTAAATTTTGATAATCACCAAATCAAGAATTCAATATATATACTGTCTCACATATTCAAACATTCCCTGTATCATCTAATAGCTTGCTTGAATGATTTTGTTTTTCATTTAAGTTAATATTCCAAAGGATATTGTTTGTTACAAGGTCCAGGAAAAAAAATCCCAAACAACAAAATTGCGTTTTATCTCTTGAGAAGTGAAAAATATTATTTTACTGTACTCAGCTGCAGACAATCATAATTAATTATTTTTATCTGCATATGTTATTTGATTAATTAAGATTGCTAACAGAGATGAGTCAGAACCAAAAACATAGATATGAACACTCCACGTCTTCTCCAGTTGCTAACAGACCTCAGTGTTACTGGACTCTGAGAACATATTAACTACCATAAAGGATCAGTATCCACTCTCCAGCAGTGGTGAGAAGCAGGAAGGGGCATGAACCCCACAGTAAGGTTAGGTTTATTATGCAGGTTCTGGGTGGTGTCGGTGGTCTGCAATATACAAGTCAGACTAGGTGATCTGGTGGTCCTTTTTGCCTTAAACTCTATTACTCTATGAGTACGCAAACGTGGAATAATCTGACCCCAAAATAAATCTTATCCTGGCCTCTTAGAGATTGGCTTAAACCCTGAAGCACAAGATTTAAGATTCCTTCAGAAAATGTTCTCATAATTATGACACATCTGAATATTCTTGATATCGACATAAATATCATTCTGAATCTCAAATTCTTGGTTTCAACAACTTTCTGTGGCAATACATCCCACAGTTTAATTACATGTTGTGTGCAAAGGCATTTCCTTCTACTGGTTTTGAATTTCCCACCTTTTAATTTCATTGAATGTAAAAAGAAGTAACCTATGTTATAGCCAGTCTTGTGCCAAGATTTTCTATCAGTATGTATGTAATCATAAGCATATATTGGCTTCTTTTGGCCCTTGAGATGGCAATAATGAACCCATGCTTGAACTGATGCTAGCAACTCTGATCAAAGTTAATGGGAAAGTCAGGGAATACCTGGTACCAAGTGGATTTGGGGGTTAAACTGATGAACTCTAGGTTGTTTTGAATTTCAGTGCAAATAGTAATAAACTGCATAGTCTTCTCTTCCCTCTGAAATATTTCTCTCTGAAATAAGTTATATTACAAAATATTTGTGATAATGAAATACATGGAAACTGTATCATTTAAATGAAACTTTAGAAAACAAGCTATGGTAATCCCGTAGTATCACGTATTAAATTATCTGGGCATTTGACATTGTAAGGTATATAATTTTGCCTTGAATCCTAATGTGTAAAAATATATATGTAGATATTGCGCAATATCTTATTGCAAAGGAAAAATAAACGAGTTAACTGGACACTTCAGAGAATTCAGAGCCAACACAATTGGTGACTGGAGTCCTTCAGTAGCACATGGAGAAACTTCAAGTTACACCCAGAATGATGAAAGCAAGAGCAGAAGAAGAACGTTAAAAGGACTTTAAAAGGTCTGGAAAATGTTGTAGCTGTGAGTCTCGCCTCACCAGGTGTGGTATATTACAACCACAAACCAGCTAGTATCACTGGACTTTACAGTCCCTCTGATATTCCCTTCAACAAAATAATACTTGTATGAATTATGACAAAATAATTACAGTCAGGACTTTGCCATAGTTCAGTCCCACCACTTCACTGCGAAGCTGTAATTATATCCATTAAACATATAGGCAGACTAAGGCATAGTCACTCCACACCAGATACTCCACATCCTCGGATTCCCTCCCCTGCCCTTATACTCACTGCCAAGCCCAGCCTTTGGACTCAGTGCTTCACATAGCATTTTCCCTTTGAACATTTTGCTGCTCAAAAACTCGTTCTCTCTCTAACCATAAACAGGGCTGGACTAAGGCAATTGTGGGGCCCTAGACACACCATAATACAAGGTCTCATGGGGCAGTGGTAGGGGTGGGCTCTGGTCTCCTTCTAGGGAGACAAGATGGCAGCAAGAGTGTACCTAAGTACTTACCCCAGCAGCTGGGCATGTATCTGCTTAAGTGGGCAGGACCCACTGCACTCTTCTCCTGCTATACACAGAGTCCCCCTGCTGGGTTGGTGTTGATCTTGGAATTAACACCCATTGAGATGAATGGGGGTGAGTCCATCCCCTTCCCCAGCAATTGCTTTAATCTATTTGAAGACTCAGGCAGACATCATTTTCGAGTTTACCTTGCAATCATACTGACTAGAAACTTTTGATTTTTAATAAACGCTCCAATTTTAATGTAATCACGTGACTCCAGAAGCTGGAGCTCTGGGCACAGTATTATAGTGCCTAATCCCTAATCTTAAGCAACATTACAGGTCCTTTGTGATATCATTTTCTCTAAAGACTTCATATGTTTATGGAGAGAGTGAGTTTCCAACCACTGTATTATAATAATAAATAATAATAATAACATGCTTTTCATTACATGACATTGGTAGAAATTAGTTATGTCAATGTCACATGTTAAATTCTCAATACATTTTGTTGCCCAAGTTCTCTTATGGTTTCAATACCTTCTAAATCATTCATAGTCATGACAATGGCTCCTTAAACTTTCTGGGGTGTGTAGTCTCACACTGTCTCCAGGAGGACTGTTAAAAAGCATTTCCATTTCCAACATCAGGCACTTTTGAAAGGACATTAATAAGGGACAAAAGTTTTGGTGATGACAAATGGATGACAGTTAGCCCAAGACCTGAGTGCCATGCAGATGTTACTCATTTTGTGGAAATGCCATTAAATTTTATGCTCAGCTGTAACCATTTATAGTGTCAGCCAGATGCTTAGGTTAAAGATACTTTTCACCCAAGGGCTATATTATTGTTCAGGATTTCTGAAACTTTTAAAAAAAGTTTAAAATAGTCAATTTAGGGGAAAAAAGCAAGTCATATGCTCCTCTCTAAACTCTGCTCAGAAAGTGACTAGATATAAATGCAATATAGTTGCAGCTTTGTAGGGAAGCCTGCTTGGTGTGGAACATCCAGTTATGCAGTTACAGAATCAATAGAAACCCAGCATAAAGGATATTGGTGGATTATCTTCTGGGAAAGCAACTCCTCAGTTTAGTTAAAGAACTTTCTTTTATTTTACGGCAAAAGAGATTGTATTTTGGAAAACCTGTTATGAGTTTTTTTTTTTAACTTCAGAAATTGTTCTATCCATCATCTAGTGAGGTTCTTTAGAGTTCCTACTGCTGTCTGATGTTAATATGGGATTTCTTGAAATGCCATTACCAATTACAGTGTCTTAGTAATTCTGTTAAGCATTGCCCTTTCTGTTGAATCCCTAGACAAAACCTGCTTTTCTGCTATGTAGTGAAAGGAAGCAGCACATTAATTTCTCATAGCCTGTACTTTACTAAAGGCTGATCTGCATAATTCTTATCTCCTGCATGGGTAAATCGAGGCTACTCATAACTTCTACCACTATCTCATTCTATTGCTCTTATTGTTAATAAAATGGACTAAAATAGCACCATTCATTTACATGGCCCTTTTCCTGATGACCTTGCAGCAAAGGCTGGACAAAACAAATAGAAACAAGACACAGGACAATGGTTCGGTAAGGGAAAAGTGTGGAGAACATGGTTGGAAATATTCTGAGGAAGAAGTGGACTTCCAGGAGGGATTTGAAGGAACAGATCTTTAGGGGTTAAAGAGAAAGGACAAGAAGCTGACTTAGAAGAGCAAGACTAGTAAAGGGAGACAGCATGAAAGAAGGTACCAGTAAGTAAAAAGTAACAGGAGCACCAACAGGACCAAGAAGAGGATGGAGGGTAATGAGAATAGAGATGTAGGTGAGATCAGAATCTGTTGAGTTTTGAAGGTGAGAATAAGGAGCTTGACAGGAGACAGATAGCTAATGATGGGATTCCAAAAGAGTGGTGATATGCTTCAGAGGATCCTGACAGGAAGAGGAATTTAGCTCCTGCATTTTGTTTAGACTAAGGGGAAAGGCAAAATCAGGAAGAGAAGAGCCAAGGGTACAGTAAATCCAGCTGAACAATGACCAAGTCTTGTTGCACAGTGGGGTATTTGGGAATTGGGCTGTTTCAAACCTGCCAATGCCCCTGGTGGACCTGCAGTTTAAGCCTGGGAGGTAAAAAGGGTTGCTAGTGAGTTTACATGTGCTTCTGTCTCGTCAGCAGCAATTATTTCCAACTTTCTCTCCCCACACAGTGCTATTTCAAGATCAAGAGATGTTGAGCTAGTACGCAGTTGCCTAAGCTT